TCAAAGTACCGTAAGTTACGGCCATTAATGGAGCTTCTTGATATCCACTTTGGGTTTGCGCTCAACAGTGGAACTCTCTTGCATCCTTTGGGAGTTAGGGGACTCCTGCATCCCTTGAGACTTATAGGACTCCCCTGCATCCCCTGGGAGTTAGGGGACTCTCCTAAATTCTCTGGGAGTTGTATGGCTAAGTGAAGACTACTTCTCCCGAGTAGGATATTATACCAGAAGGATGAACTCCTCTGTTTCAAGTTAGGCTGTTGATCCTAACACACACACACACACACACACACACACACACACACACACACCTGAGGAGGAGGGGGGTACGGTATTACTTTCCTCGGTGTCCATACTTACGGGTTTGACTCCCCTAAAAGGATGTTAATTAAGAGAGTTTACACCTATGGGAGGAATGATCATGCTGCCTCCCTCACCAGGTAAACGTTTGGTGAGAGAGGAGAGGAGACAGAGGTACAGACGCTAAACGAGACACTTACGAAAAAAATAATAAGATATAACTAAGAAGAAAAGATGAAAATTAGAGAGGAAAGATGAAAGTGTCGTAGCAAACCCTTAAAGAAATCTGATAAAATAAGACAGGGAAGCATTTAGTGGTAATAAATAAGATAAAGATGAGTTAACCAATAAAACGCGTCGATCGATGGTTTATTAGACAAGTATAAAGTATCGTGATATCGGCACAGTGAAGCTCTAGTCTTATAACGAAGCTCTGGTGAAACATATTTATTTATCGTCTTGTCATTGAAGGAAAAATAATAGTGCTGGGAAGAGGTAGATTGAGGGTGGGTGATCCTCGTGTTCTCTGTATATCGGTTTATAGTTATTCTGTATAAAGGAGTCTTCATGGTCATCGAAAAGGCCAATGTTCTACGTGTCGTTTATATGGTTTCGTTTTGGTGTTTTGTAGAAGGGGTCATATAGCCTGTTAATAGGACCAAAGGCTAGTATGCTAATTGAGGTGTTTTAATATGCTAATTCAGGTGTTTTTCCTTAGTTTTTGTTTACCAAGATTAAATACATAACTGTGTGTGTGTATTTCTACTTTACATCATAGTTTAATTATATACGTATATATTCCAAGAAATGAAAATGGGAAATTTAAATGTGGTAATCCTGAATATTCCAGGAAAGGGAAACTCCTGTTGTTGTTCTTTCAAGTTTAAGTAAAACAAAACCAAATACTTTAAAACAAACTTCCATTTAAATTAATATTTAATCTGTGTTTGAAATTGCAGCATCTGTGTCCCATTCCCACAACACAAAGTTCATCTGCTAATTATTTTTTTTCTCTTCCTCAGGTAAGCTGCCAACTGCTTCGGCTGTTATGGTGTACAGGTGTCAGGTCAGTCAGGTGGTATAATTAGTCTAACACTTGTTGCTGTATACAGATGTTCTATTTACCCTTGGTTGTTGTTCAGTTAATTTCTGTACAGTAGTTTCATGCCACAGGTGTGTTATTGAATAAACTGAATCCTGTATGTAATTAAATACAGGTGGGGTGTCATTAAGTATTTTTAGTATAGCTATAATTACATTCGCTACATAGCCTTGTGTGTATAGGATTCTACTTGCACATCACTTTTAACTGTTAAAGAAATATAGGCAGTGGTATAATAATGTGAATATAATTGTGACATCAGTTAGCTGGGTGTTAGACAGCCTGTGTAATCAAGAACAGTACAAGGCTTCAAAATGCCTCTGGACAAAACTATTAAGAACACAGACCATCGTCTTCCGTAACACATTATTTGGCATCTGGTTGTGGTGACTATTAGATAAATTAGGTAAAAAAATATTCATAATAAAATAAACAGTGAGGCTTCCTGTACTTTACTTATCAGTCACTCACTACTTCAGGAATGGGAGAAGTGTATTCGTTATTTATGTATCAAAACGATCACACAAACACTTGATTAAAAACGATTTTCACTACTTGCCGCCACAAACTGTCCATCCGCAAGGCTCGTCATCATGGTTTGTTCCTCACTATAATATACCCCATAAGACCGTTCACTTTCTTGCTGTCTGACGGTGCCCCATGCTGCTGGTCGACTGTGCCTTCACTAGTGCGTTTACAGGGGATCGTCAGCTGTTGTGCAGTGTGGCTGACTAGCAGCACTGTGTTTGTTTACATTCGACGGAAGAAAACTGTCAATAAAACTCGTAATTATAAACATACTACGGAATCAAAGTAAAACAATATTAAAATAAATATCTCAATTTAATGATTTGTGGAATGTTTATATGACGAACCCCTGTACACGCTCTAGTGAAGGTGACTGTACCTTGAAGTAAGATTATCGAAAGACTTTAGTTCACCTTGAGATGTTTCTGTAGATCCTGCCTTGAGAACCATAATAAAATTTTCATACAATCGTTCATGTGTCAATATTTCACAGCATTTTTCTTATCACTTCAATCTGTATATAAAATAAGGGGAGGTAATTTAATACTTTGACGATATTTAGCATATTTTAGTGTTTCAATTTTTTTCCTTTAATTGAGTGATTCCTGTGGACGTATTGTGACCTATGAATATGAATTTCTTAAACCATTTGACCTTTAACACATCCCCGTCTATGAATACCACCATCTGTCTTCTTTCGTGGAAATTCCGGCTTCCAGTGATGTCAATTTCCTCCCGCCTGTCATCACTCTCCCGGCGGCGGAGGAGGAAGCACTGCTGTCCCACCATTTGTCTCTGGTCACAATTTTTCAGGCTGGTTCCGTCGTAATTAGCATGTTGTTAAGGGATTGTTGTCGCCCCTCCCCCCCGATCTCCCGCCCTTGTGTTGCTCTCATAAGGGTCTCAGCCTTTGCCCTGCCTTGACGCTTGTCCCTAATCTCCGTCCCTAATCCCTCGTCCCTAACCTCCGTCCATAATCCCTGCTCCCAATTCATGACCCCAATCCCTGCCCTCAATTCCCTGCCCCTAATCCCCGTCCGCAATCCCCGTCCCTAATCCCCGTCGCAAATCCCCCGTCCCCAGTTCCCGTCCTCGCCTAACATGAGCTTTATCCGTCACAATCTCTTTGGTCTTCATCCGTCACAATCATTAAGGTCATCCGTCACACTCACCTGAGCCTCATCCGTCACAACACCAAGTACTCCTCATCCGTCATACAGATTGGACTTGTTCTGGTACAAGAACTGGGTATTCTTCCCTCGCTCTTTTGTAGGTCCTCCCCCTCCTTACTCAGCCCTCCTCCCGCTCCTCGTTACTCACAAAGACCCGACTCTCCTCCTCCTCCTCCTCACTCACACAGACAGGGCCCTCCTCCCTCTCCTCCTCCTCCTCGTTACTCACAAAGACCGGTCCTCCTCCTCGTTACTCACAAAGACCGGTCCTCCTCCTCCTCCTCCTCCTCCGTCACAATAACGGGGCCGGATACAGCTGACGGTCGCCTGGTCTAATCACACAGGTGACTTACAGGTGATATATGAGCGGGGATTGTGAGGGGTTTACGGCCCACTACTCCTGCGGCCACGGTGGGGTGGTGCTCCTGCTGCTTCAGGTGGGGGGCGCCTGTACCTACTCCTCCTCCTCCAGATGGTTCCTTAGTCTTATTACACTCCCACGACCCCCAACCCCCCTCACACACACACACACACACAGAGTTTGAGCTTTTCCCCATCTAGTTATTATTTATCTTATTTATATCACTTATGTTATTTGTATATTATTTGTAATTCGAAACCCATTCCCCAATTATGTAACTGTATATTTTCAGCCGTCTGGCTGCCAAGCTCTTTCAATAAACCGTTAATTGTATTATTATTATTATCATCATTATTATTACACACACACACACACACACACACACACACACACACACATACACACACACACACACACACACACACACACACACACACACACACACACACACACACACACACACACACACACAGAGCGAGACACTGAAGGGGGGTTAAATACCTAAACATTAATAATTAAACTCAGGAAAACCTTGGAGCGACCAGCCGTTACCTCCCCCTTCATCATACACGGCCTTCCCTCTCTCTCCCCCTCACTCACCTCCTCTCCCCCATCCGCCACCTTTCCTCACTCACCTCCTCTCTCCTCCCTCACTTTCTTAGCACCTTCCCTGTCCCCTTAGCTACCCAGCACCTCCTTCCTGCTTCCAGCTGGCCTTGGCACCTCTTCCTGTCTCCAGCTGGCCCTCAGCACTTCCTTCCCTCCTCCACCTGGCCTCTTTCCGTCCCCAGCTGGCTCCCCAGCACCTTCTTCCCGTCTCCAGCTGGCCCCCAGCATCTCCTTCCCGTCTCCAACTGGCCCCCAGCACTTCCTTCCCTTCTCCACCTGGCCCTCTTTTCCGTCCCCAGCTGGCCCCCAGCACCTCCTTCCCTTCCCTTCCCCAGCTGGCCCCCAGCACCGTCAGACAGCATCTAATTAATATCCATAGCAGAGAATAATTCAGCCGGGTGCCGGGGAGCGCCTCGGCCAATCACTGGATTACCACACGTCTTGGCCCAGATATTGGCACTGCCTCGGCCTGGCCCAGCTGTAGTGCCACTCACCTCCTGGCCAACTACTGCTTCAGTATCTCCTGATGGCCCCTGTGCGGTACTGGAATGGGCAGAGATGTGTGTGTGTGTATTGGGGAGGTTGCATATATTGTGTTAGAGACAGAGATGGTTAGGAATGTGTGTAAGGGTGATGGGAAAGACGTGAAGGGGAGTGATGGGAAAGACGTGAAAGGGGGGTGATGGGAAGGAGACTCTAAGATGGGCCACACATCACCTGACCCGCCATCAGTCACTCCTAATGATCTCTTCCTACATCTTTCATTCTTAACTCGATAGTGTCAGAAGAGCAACTTGGGACATATCTTACGCCTATATATTCAAGGCAGATGATTGAGGCTATTTGTAAAGGCAGATAAACGTTGGTCTCGGGAGAGGAGAGGTCGCCGCTGTCCAGAGTCTTGTCGTGACAGAATTCACACAATAGATTACAGACGAAGGTGTGTTGAGGGGCGAAAGGAACAAGTGTTCATATCACACCAGATCTTTCTTTTTGTAAGTGTATGAATATGAGATCTGGTGACGGAGACTATGTGAAGATAGTAACTAGTGGAGACGAGTTGAAATTGGTAGGGACTGGTTGGAGCTGGTAGTGACTGGTTGGAACTGGTAGGGACTGGCTGGAACTGGTAGGGACTGGTTGGAGCTGGTAGGGACTGGTTGGAACTGGTAGGAACTGCATGGAGCTCTTCCGGACTGGTTGGAGCTGGTAGGGACTGGTTGGAACTGGTAGGGACTGGTTGGAACCGGTAGGAACCCGGTTGGAGCTGGTAGGGACCGGTTGGAACTGGTAGGACTGGTTGAACTGGTAGACCGGGCTTGAACTGGTAGGACTGCTGGAACTGGTAGGGACTGGTTGGAGCTGGTAGGGACTGGTTGGAGCTGGTAGGGACTGGTTGGAGCTGGTAGGGACTGGTTGGAACTGGTGGGACTGGTTGGAACTGGTAGGGACTGGTTGGAGCTGGTAGGGACTGGTTGGAGCTGGTAGGGACTGGTTGGAACTGGTAGGGACTGTAGAACTGACAGGGACTGCTTAGAACTGGTAGGGTTGGTTGGAACTGGTAGGGACTGGTTGGAACTGGTGTGGACTGGTTGGAATTTGGTAGGACTGGCCAAACATTCATGCAGCGGTTATATACGAGTGTCACAACCAGACAAAGCCTGCTGGTGTAATTATCATCTGGAACTCCATCTTCAGTGGTGTGAGGCGAGATGCATTATTTATACAATATAACCAGCGTGAAGCCTGCCTCGACCCCCCTCCCTGCCCCACCCCATCCCATTAAGGGTCAAAGGCTTTATTTGCCTGGATTTACGTATAATATGAAGTTTTTAGCTCAGGGACGAAGCTCAATAGCTTTTCAGGCTGATGGAACAAGCTGTAATATGCAAATTTATTGGGAACTAATACTGTACTGTAATAGGCAACAGCAGGAAGTCTTTAGCTGCATCATAGACGACGAAATGTTCATGGCGGTAACATTTTGGGAGGTCTTGTTCAGCCTAGGGTTTTTATTAAGTCCATTGTGGTGTAATGCCTAGGGTTTTTATTAAGTCTTTGAGGTCTTAATAAGTCCATGGGGTCTTATTAAGTCACTGGTTCATTAAGTCAGGGAAAGGTATTAAAGTCTATGGGGTCTTATTAAGTCCATGGAAAGGTATTATTAAGTCTATGGGGTCTTATTAAGTCCAGGAAAGGTATTATTAAGTCTATGGGGGTCTTATTAAGTCTATAGGGTCTTAAGTCTATGGGGTCTTATTAAGTCTATAGGGTCTTATTAAGTCTATGGGGTCTTATTAAGTCCAGGAAAGATATTAAGTCCAGGGGATGGTCTTAAGTCCAGAGGGGTGAAAGGAGTTCATGTTGAAGTAAACTGATATTTTAGGATAAATTTATATGATTTTTTTCTGCGCTTTAGTTGAAATAGGGTTTGACAGGGGGCGTGGAGGTGAGTGGTCTCTGGCATCAACATTGTAGGGAGGGTGAGCGGGGAGGGGCGGGGAGAGGCAGGAAGGGGTGGGGAGGGGGCAGGGAGGAGCCACTGTTCATTGTCACCACAGATTACCTCCATACCATCCATCACTCCCCTTACTGTCCCTCTCAACCACTCACACACACACACACACACACACACACACACACACACACACACACACACACACACACACACACACACACACACACACACACACACACACACACACACACACACACACACACACACACACACACACCTACTAAATACATTAAAAATTAACCCACGATTATAGCAGCAAAAAAAATTCCTCAAATATTCTTCAGGAAAAACATTGAATCGTAGACTAGAACAAGACGGGAAGGAGAAAGTGTGTGATATCCTGTCCACTGTTGTCGTGTTCTGGGTCTAGTGTTGTTTTTGTTTGTGTTGCGTCTTTATTGTTTGTGTTGCGTCTTTATTGTTGCGTCAGGTCCTTCTTCATGGATTTGTTATTTGTACAGTGTGTGTGTGTGTGTGTGTGTGTGTGTGTGTGTGTGTGTGTGTGTGTGTGTGTGTGTTGTGTGTGTGTGTGTGTGTGTGTGTGTGTGTGTGTGTGTGTGTGTGTGTGTGTGTGTGTGTTTACTGTACATTATAGTAGATTCTTGATAAACTAACTAGTCTTCATGCCTTCTTCATTATATGTAAATTAGTGATACAATAAATTACCTCATTGTTCTATAAGTCTTTTCATACTTTCGTTATTCTTATTTCGTTATTGTCTGTATACCGTAGTTATCCTCTCCCGTGTCTCTCCTTCGTTTGGGCTAAGAATTCTCCTGTATTATAAAAGGCGATAAGAACAATGTTACTTTTGACCTCCATGTGCTCCTTTGATGTGTAAATATATTTTTTTCTCTCTTGTGTTTTCACTCTGCATGATTATCGTAAATTAAAATTCCTTTGTCTTCACTGTGGCTCATTTGCCAGGAAAATGTATATTTCACGGGTCGTCTGTGTGTAGGTGTGTGGGGGTACTGTCTCTGTGGTGTGGGTGTGTGGGGTTGTCTCTCTATTGGTGTGGGTGTGTGAGGGTGTAGGTGTGTGAGGTGTAGGTGTGGGTTCGAGGGGGTGTGGGTTTGTCAGTGTGTGTGGGGACTGTCTCTCTATTGGTGTGGGTGTGTGTGGGGGCTGTCTCTCTATTGGTGTGGGGTGTGTGTGGGGTTGTCTCTCTATTGGTGGGTGTGGGGGGGTTTGTCTCTCTGTGGTGGGGTGTGTGGGGGTTGTCTCTCTTATTGGTGTGGGTGTGTGTGGGGTTGTCTCTCTATTGGTGTGTGGGGTGTGTGGGGGCTGTCTCTATTGGTGTGGGTGTGTGTGTGTGTTTTGTCAGGACGGTGTTTTTAATGTTGTATAAGCTGTGTATGTGTATAAATGTTTTGTTGTGTAGAAGTGTTTGCTAGTTCGCTTGAATCCATGCTTTTGTGTGTGTGTGTGTGTGTGTGTGTAGATATATATATATTTGTCTTTTTATAAGTGCGTGTGAGTGTATGCACATGCAAGTGAGTGTTGTGTTCTCTCCTGTGTGTGTGTGTGTGTGTGTGTGTGTGTGAGGGTGGAGGATGCATGCGTATTTGTAGGTGGTGGAGGCTGATGATATAGAGTAGTGTGTATGTGTGTGTATGTGTGTATGTGTTTTGAGTGGGTTTGAAGATGTGGGTGGTGGGTTGAAGAGTGTGTGGGTTGGGCAGGTGATGGTGGGCGGCACACTTGCTTGGGGCGCATGTGTAAATTCCCCAACTTGTGTAAACTATTTTTATAATTTCTTGGGAAACTTACCACTGCTTCAACATCTTACAAACTCAATCTTGGTTTTGTACAATTTTGAAACCACCAAAGCCTGACTGTTTTCTATATTATACGAAGTTAAGCCACAGTTTCAATCCTATTAGTGGGTTTTATATCAGATTCTTAAAACTATTGAATTAATTAGCAATATATAATAGTTTTTTATGAAATGGACGATGTTTAGCTTTCACGTGATATGGTGATGAAACTCAGTGCACACACACACACACACACACACACACACACACACACACACACACACACACACACACACACACACACACACACACACACACACACACACACGAAGTCAAAACCTACGACAGGAGACGAAGATTTAAGATACATCCTGACAATATGACGAAACTGAATCTGTTTACATAGTCATGGAGACAGACGGAGATGCATAGATCCTCAACAAGAAAAGAAAGACTAGAGAGAGAGAGAGAGAGAGAGAGAGAGAGAGACCTCAAGTGTATGGTGATGTCACTGATTTGGTCACTTAAACAAACCCTGATCACTTCACTCGTGTCCGCCTGCCCAACACTTCTCTTGACAGCAGGGTGGTGGAGGATGACGGAGCGAGGTGGGTGGAGAATGACCAGCGAGGTGGGTGGAGGAATGACCAGGGGTGGGTGGGAGCCAGAGAGGGGTGGGTGGAGGAATTACCAGAGAGGGTGGGTGGAGGAATGACCAGCTAGAGGTGAGTGGAGGAATGACCAGAGAGGGTGGGTGGAGGAAGACCAGCGAGGGGTGGGTGGAGGAATTACCAGAGAGGGGGTGGGTGGAGGGATGACGAGCGAGGGGTGGGTGGAGGAATGACCAGCGAGGGGTGGGTGGAGGAATGACAGAGAGGGGTGGGTGGAGGAATGACCAGAGAGGGGTGGGTGGAGGAATTACCAGAGAGGGGTGGGTGGAGAATGACCAGCTAGGGGTTGGGTGGAGGAATGACCAGAGAGGGTGGGTGGAGGAATGACCAGCGAGGAGTGGGTGGAGAATTACCAGAGGTGGGTGGAGGGATGACTGAGCGAGGGGTGGGTGGAGGAATGACCAGAGAGGGGTGGGTGGAGGAATGACCAGCTAGGGATGAGTGGAGGGAATGACCAGCTAGGGATGGGTGGAGGAATGACCAGGGGTTGGGTGGAGGAATGACCAGCTAGGGATGAGTGGAGGAATGACCAGAGAGGGGTGGGTGGAGAATGACCAGCTAGGTGAGGTGGAGAATGACCAGCTGGGTTTGGGTGGAGGAATGACCAGCTAGGGATGAGTGGAGGAATGACCAGCTAGGGTTGGGTGAAGGAATGACCAGGGGTGGGTGGAGGAATGACCAGCTAGGGGTGAGTGGAGGAATGACCAGGGGTGGGGTGGAGGAATGACCAGCTAGGGATGAGTGGAGGAATGACCAGCTAGTTAGTGGAGAATGACCAGCTGGGGATGAGTGGAGGAATGACCAGCTAGGGATGAGTGGAGAATGACCAGCTAGGGATGAGTGGAGGAATGACCAGCTCGGGATGAGTGGAGGAATGACCAGCTAGGGGTGGGTGGAGGAATGACCAGCTAGGATAGGGAGGAGAATGACCAGCTAGGGATGGGTGGAGAATGACCAGCTAGGGATGAGTGGAGAATGACCAACTAGGGATGAGTGGAGGAATGACCAGCTAGGGATGAGTGGAGGAATGACCAGCTAGGGATGAGTGGAGAATGAGCTAGGGATGAGTGGAGGAATGACCAGCTGGGGTGGGTGGAGAACCAGCTAGGGGTGAGTGGAGAATGACCAGAGAGGTGGGTGGAGAATGACCAGCTAGGGATGAGTGGAGGAATGACCAGCTAGGATGAGTGGAGAATGACCAGCTAGGGATGAGTGGAGGAATGACCAGCTAGGGATGAGTGGAGGAATGACCAGCTAGGGATGAGTGGAGGAGATGACCAGCTAGGGATGAGGAGAATGACCAGTTAGGGTGGGTGGAGGAATGACCAGCTAGGGATGAGGGTGGAGGAATGACCAGCTAGGGATGAGTGGAGGAATGACCAGCTAGGGGTGGGTGGAGAATGACCAGCTAGGGATGAGTGGAGGTGACCAGCTTGGGATGAGTGGAGGAATGACCAGCTAGGGTGGGTGGAGGAATGACCAGCTAGGGATGAGTGGAGAATGACCAGCTGGGATGAGTGGAGGAATGACCAGCTAGGGATAGTGGAGATGACCAGCTAGGGATGAGTGGAGAATGACAGCTAGGGATGAGTGGAGGAATGACCAGCTAGGGATGAGTGGAGGAATGACCAGCTAGGATGAGGGGAGAATGACCAGCTAGGGATGAGTGGAGGAA